GAGATCTGTAGCTCCAGATATAACTCAATTACCGAACAGTGTTCCGGTTTTGATTGCACCGACATCTCTTTTCTAATTTTGGTTATCTCTTTGCTCTTGCAATTTAAGTTCTTAATGTCATCAATCAATCCTTTCATTTATGTGATAGGCCTGCATTTAAAATAAATATTTACCACAAATTAAAGGTATCTTATATTATTAGATATATTATTATAAAACATGCTTTAGTTAAGGAGTTATTGATATTTAAAGTGCAAAATGATAACATAAAACCTTGATAAAAATATACACTTTTAAGTACTAATCAGTAAACTCACTATTACTACCCCCCTTCCACACACACACACACACACTTAAAAGATTGGCTAACCATACGAAGAAGGTTTGATTAAAAAGATATTTTGTTCTTATTTTACTTTATTTTCAAATTGTTCATTTTTTTTTATATTTGTTTTGGGTGCTTGAAGTTTGTTTGAATATACGTCTTAGAATCTATTTATATAAAAAAAATATTAATAAAAAAGGAATTCTAATAATCATTAAAGGTATACATTATTTTTTTTTATTTATAATTAAATCTTGTTATTTATGCTAAAAAAGACAATAATAACAATGCCTATACAATTATTTGTTTTACAATATACAAAAAAATAATCTAACTCATAGATGAGCAATAATCTCATAAGATATGATCACATGTTGTTGGGTCTAATCACTTAATAAAAAAAATAAAAAATCTAAATACCCCTAACACTTTTATATAGAAAAACCTCTAGCACTGTCAGCATGTTTTTACAATAATAATTAGATTCAATTATTTGATTCTATAATTAATATTCTATAGGTATTGTTTCTATTTTTATAATGTTGAGCGTCATTCTCGTACTACATCATTGAACTGAGAATTAAAAATTGATCATAATTGATGCAAGATACAGGTCAAGCTACAAGTTGAAGCAAGGTTATGCGGACACGGTCATAATTTGTGTCAAGTCCTCCTTTCTTTTGTTTTTACGTTGAGAAAATTATGAGACCAGAGAAAATTCAAGATAAGGTCCTTCCTAGCCTATGACTAGATCAAAAATGTCATCCTAGTGAAGGAGAGATTTGCTCACACTTATGTAATACAATACCAATCAGCAAAGTTATGATTGGTTGGCTGCTGACAAAGATTATAGGAATTAATGGTGGTATTTATCGTAACTTCTGCTCTTTTAGCTATTTTTTTAAAAATATTATTAATGTATAAAAGTATTTAATTGATTTTTTTTATGGAATGTTTTTTTTTAAGTTTTGATGTAGTGATGTAAAAAATAAAAACAAAAACTTATTTTAATATATTTTCAAATAAAAAATTATTTTGAAAAACTTTTTACTCGGAGATTATTTACGAACGCGGTTGAAATAATATTCTCTTAAATTTTAATTTTTTTATTAAAAATTTAATTTTTTTATATTTTTAGATCGCTTTGATATACTAATTTAAAAATTAATTTTTTAAAAATAATAAAAAATATTATTTTAATATATTTTTAAATAAAAAACATTTTACCTACACCTGTTATTATAATTTTAAATATATCCTTACACTGCACTCGCAGACATCCTAAATCTAGGTAATTAACCACGTGGTCATTGGAACAATTTATTTAAAAAAAAAAGAAATAAATACAATATGACAATGATATCAATAAAATTTCTTTTTATTGTTCTCCAAACACTAAAAAACTATGTATAGTATTATATTTAAAATATTTATATTATATGTTTAATTACATTTTATAGAACAAACTACACACACACACATATATATATATAATAAATTCCTTTTCCTTATCTTTACACTTTTTATATCTTATTTTTTTCTCTTATAAGTTATCAAATAGTTACACATTTAATGTTTTCTATAAACTTAAGAAAATTCAAAATGCTCATTTTCTATACTAATACTAAAAAATATTTTTTTAATATATTTTCCAT